GCCGCAGAGCTCGCTCCCAGCTGGCAAACACGCAGCAACCGCCCTGCGCAACGGAAGGGTATCAAACTTTATTATAGATCTCTTTAAAACAGGCTGGAAGGAACAAACAAAAAACGGCATCGTGATGCAGCGACCGAGTCGTCATCCCAAATGCAGACACTGACCGACCCCCAGCTCTCCCAAATTATTTATAGATAATATATCCCACCCGTCCCCCAAATTGCTCCAATTAAACGATCACGTTTCGGATCACCCCAAGTGTCTTAACATTAGCTGCTTCTACACACCAAGACGCACACGTTTTCTGGCAAATCGGATGCGGTATTTTTTTGGGTTTAGTTCCTCAATCTCTGGAAAGGAGGAAGGAAAAACAAAATCAGGAAAATCGCTTCTTTTAAGGTTGCCTTTTTACAGCAGGTACAGATTCGGCAGATTTCCCCCCCAAAGCAAGTCTGAAACCCTCTTGTTCAGCTTGGCAATGCGCAGAGCGGCTCTGGCGGGTAAGGAGAGCCCGCCAGACGAGATCAGTCGGAGCAAACTGATTTCGAGGCTTTGTCGTCATTTCCCTTTGGGGCCGGTTTCCAGAGGTTTTCCGATATCCTTCCCACGCAGCTTAAGGCCTGGAATAAGACAAAGGAGACGACGACCATCAGCTGCCACCAGCACTCCATCCTTCACCCGGTAACTCTATTTCCTCAAATTTTCGCTGTAAGGAAGTGAATATCCAAAAAAGAGGGCAGTGGAAGCGGGGTTAGGGAGGATCCTACACTAGTTTCTAGGAGCACCGGACTAGTTTCAGACAAAGCTCCAATTCTTGCTTGTGCACAGAGTGTCTTCCTAGAAAACGCTATCTGAACCGGCCCAGGAGAGCAGCAGTAACAGCAGTGGCTGCACGACGCTTTCTGTAGCGCGATCAGGCCTTCCCGGGTCCCAGAGGCTCACTGGTTTCGGGGGGGAAGCAAACAGGGGTCGTCCCCAGGGCCCGGCCCCACGCAGGAAGGTGAAGAACAAAGGAGAACAAGAGCTCCGAGCTCTGCTTTGTCAGCAGATCCACGTTTCACCAGAACGCGGCGTACGGACCCCGCACCCGCACCAACCTGCGGCCAGCAACCGTTCCTGACGTGGAAAAAGTAACATGAACCAAAACGGCCCTCCCCGGCACGAAAACATTGTCACTCCTTTCGAAGTCTCCTTTCTTAACTCACCGATGGCCCTCTCGATCTTGCCCATGACCTGGTTGTTGGGGATTGCTCTTCCCGATTCGTAGTCAGCAATAACTTGTGGTTTTTCATTGATTTTCTAGAAGGAGAGGAGGCGTCTCACACACTGGCTCCGGACGCGGTGAACACCCGGCACAGCCCCCCAGCACTCACACGGACAAGTGACAGCCCCTGACCGTGCCAGGAT